TTTTTTTTTTGAATTTTTTTTTGGCGAGTGCAAACGGATGGCCTATTGTACGGCCAATTAGAAAAGCTTTCGGGCACGTTTTCTCTAAAACTCAAGTTGTTTCAGTCTGCGAATCTGAAATTTATTTTACAGAAGATATTTCAGATAAGAAACTGCTCAAAAATTAGTATTTTATCAATTTAATCAATTATTGTATAAGGATAATAAAATTTCTGCAGTTGAATATTTTTATACTTTTTTTCGTCTTATTTTAAACATTCAGCTATGGTCTAGTCACTTTTTTGCAAAAAAAAAAAGTCGTAAGAAATAAAAAAAAACTTTGCTTTAAAGACTGGACTAAGTTTAGAATAGAAGAAGTCAACAAATCACCTTTTTTTTATTTGCTCATAACTGATGAATATTTTAAACGATAAGACTTTTTTTCTTTTTATTTTTTTGCTTCTTTTATTTACGTTATAACTTTCCCATTAACTCGACACTTATAACTTCGATATACTGTACATGTCCACAAATTCAACTTAAGTAAGTCTGTTTCATATATTTTAACAAATGACTTTAACAAATTCTGTATTTGTCGCAACATTTATTGTATGCCGTCTAAATGATACAAATCTAAATACTTATTAATGGCTTAATATCGTCTTAGTTTTTAACTGTCAACTAAAAAACTTTTTCTAATAGCGATAAGACTACTTAACTGTTCTTTAATCTTGGTAATTCATTCTAAACTGATCGCTTTTTGCAATAAGCTCAACAGACAAACAATTCTTAGATTTTGGCGTTAAAAAACCGATATTTTTGTCTTATTCCGCATCTTAAGAAATCTATAAAAGACTATGTTGGAGCGGTTGTAGCATAAAAGAGAAATTATTTGGTGCTGATCAGTTTAGGTTGATTAATTCTCGGTTGAGACCAATCTGGTTCTTCAAAAACGAGATACAAAAAACTTAGGTTACATTAGAACAATATATGACATTCTTTGTTTTTTTTTTCTCTATTTTTCATTTTTTGTTTTATTTATTTCAATATATCACTTTTTGCGAACCTTAGAAAACAGTTTTAGCTTCTGTGGTTTCAAAGGCTTTCTTTTATATTGCTTCCTGTTTATTTCACCAACATTTGAAGTTGTTGTCAGTAACAAATTTTAGATACTATACAATTGAAATCAGTTTTGCTGTCATACTAAAGTAGGGCAGAAAACTGTGCCAACTTTTTTTTGAGGTCATTGAAAGAAGCCGTTGACGTATTCTTTAGTATTTTCAAGCAGTGATAAACGGTACTTGAACTTTATAACTTTTTTTTCTTTGCATATTTACCGCTAAAACGAGTTCAGTATCAGTTTAGTTGTAATGTTTAGCTTAGAGTCAACTAACTGACAAACATTTCTGTCATCTATCGCTTTTAATCAATTTCTTATGAAAATATTGTTGCGTTTTACATTGTGATGGCTATTCGATCAAATATATGACAGATAAAAAAAAATTTCATTATTTTTGTTGACAAAATGAGTTTTTATTTGGAGAGTAAGAGTAAAAAAAGTGAAGTAAAAAATTATTTATTTAAATTTAATTTTTTTTTTTGCGTAGTTATAATTAGTTCTCAATTAAGTATCAATGGTCTTGATTAACATAATAAGCAGTCTTTAACAAGCGGTTCTGTTAATCGTGAGTCTGAAGAAATATTTGGTTAATACGGTGCAAAGAACAGGTTGCGAAACAAATGGAAACATATAATGGTAAATTTTTTACAAAAAAACTGAAGTGTTTGAAAAAGTTTCCAAAAAATTGAATTTTTTTAGACCAAACTAGTCAGAATTACTGTAGTGGATTCCCTTATAAACCAAATTTATACAGACAAACCAAAGGTAAAAAGCAGCCTGAAAAAAATGACTAATTCTGTTCACTCTAAATCTATGACTGATTATACGTTAACTAATTACTTT